AGTCAATAAGGGCCTCAAGTGGCAGGCTAGAGTTTGGACCCGATTCTGGGAACACAGGGCATTACCAAAATATTCTGAGCAACCACCTCCAAAATAAAACTCATTTTCCTCCCAGGATCTGCTCCCAAAGAGATGGGAAAGGGGCATGTGACCTGCTTAGAGTCTACTTTCCTCCCTCAGGAGGCGGGTAGTCAAGGTTATCTGGGTCAGATTCAGCCTTGACTGCAAAAGGCCAGAGAGTGATAAGAAAAAGAGTTTCTACCCAGAAAGACAAAGAGCTATGGGGACTTCAATAGTGTCTTTTAACCAACTGTGTTAACATGGACGTGATTATCATTATCACAAGTAGAAATTGTGAATCCCCTCTCCAAAAACAAAAAACTAGGACTTCCAGGCCTAGGTTTTCCAAATGCATGACAAGTTTACTGAACGAAAAAATGGTATTGGGAGGTCTCAGGTGCCTTAGGGACCACACAAGCTCAAGGGGAAGAGAACCACAAAAATAAATTCTAATACAGAGTGTTTTGTACTTAGATTCTCTATATATGCACACAGAAGGGGGACTCAGATTAGGGAATGGCTCCTAATCCTGCCTAGAGGCAAAGGCGGCTTCCTGGAAGAGGCAAGAACCGGAGGACTAGTCTGGCGAGGAGGTTGTTCCAGGCAGAGCATAGCATGGGCAAAGACTCAGAGTAAGCAACCACCAGCTCCAGTAACGCCAGCCTCCGTTTCCTTTCTGCAATGCTGAGACCGCAGGATGAACCCAAGCTCACAGAGCACAGGTGGTTATAAGGTCTGAAATACCAAGATCTATGCACAGCTCTGTTTGTACGTTTCACAGCTAAATTTTAAAAATAAAAAATAACAAGTGCAGTGTGTGGTTCTGGAATGGATACCAGACCAGAGTTTTGCAGCAACTGGCAAAATCTAAATAAGGCCCATAGATTGGTAAGGAAGTAAGTGACTGTTCATTTCCGGATACTGAAAAATGTATTGTGATTATGTAAGAAAATGTTCTGTTTTTTTAGGAAATACACACTGAAGAATTTAAGGGTAAAGAGATATCATCTCTGCAACTTACTCTTGAATGATTCAGACAAAAACAATGTAGAGCGAGGATGACAAAACACACGTGGCAAAATAGCATTTGAGGAATCTGGGTGATAGGTATTTAGGAATTCTTTGTACTGTTCTTGCAACTTTTCTGTATATCTGAAATTTTACACAAAAATTTAAAGGAATCGGTACAGTTAAACAGAAAGAAGGAAGAGAGGAGCAAAAGCAGAAAGGAGGAAAGAAAGGGTTAGAGGAGGTAGGCTGGAAGAAGGTAATCAGAGAAAGAAGCAAGGAAGGTGGGCAAATTGTACTCCGGGCTGCCAAGCACAGCAGATAATTTCAAGCTCCAGCAAAACAGCAAACACAAAACACACACACACACACCCCAAAATAAACCGGTGCAGGTGGGACCAAGAAGAAATAGCAGGCTACTGGGGCTTCACAGAACAGACTCCCAACTCCTTCACCTCTGGTTGTGCGGCCTTGGGTCAGTTATGGGAACTCTCTGAGTCTTAGCTCCCTTCCGGGTAATCAGAGCAATCAGGGCCTCACTTCGGGGTTGCTAGGAAGCTTCTCCAACAGTAACAAAGCAGCTGCCCTTTACCCAATGCTTCCTACTCACAAGCACTCTCCCACATGCCTCACATGCCTTGATCATTCGATCCACAATCAACCCTGCAAGGTGATCATCACCCGTTTCACACTTTGTCAAACTGAGGCAGTCAGAGTACACGGAGCAACCCCAAGGTCACACAAGTCAGGAGTGTGCGAAGACAGGGTAGACACCTGGTCACACTGCAGTCATCAAGAACCAGGTGCAGGGATTGAACAGTTATCGTTCCAGAAGCAGTTGGCTGGAAAACCCCAGGGAATGAGGTTAGGTAAGAGACCCTGTCTAGGGGGCACTTCCCCCACCACCAAACAGCTGTGAACCAGTCCCTGCAAGATCCCTTCAGCAGGTCTTTGGGGTGGCAGATGCCAAAATCACCCCCATCTGCTCTCCCTAACAAGGACCAGAAGACAACATGATGTTGGGGGCAGGCAGTGAGGAACACACCAAATACTATTGTCACTACAGTTGGCGTCATCTGCCCAGCTACTGGGAAACACCTGGGAGGTTACTGCCCTGCCCTTCCTTTTTAAGAGTTTATTAAACACAAATAATTAATGGATGTCACCACCACTACCAACACACGGGCATTAACACTGTATTGACTAATACTGGCTTCTGTTATCACAATGCCATCCAGGACCTGTAAGGGCTTACTGCATGCACACATCATGCCCTTGAACCTTCACAGCAGCCCTAGGGAGAAAGTAGGATTTATGGTCCTTACCTGTTAGAGATGCAACCTTCCTGGCTAGAGCCCCAGGCAACAGAAGACTGCTTCAGAAAGGGCCTACACATGACTGACACAAGGTCTAACTCCAATCCCAAAATCAGAAAGTTCTCGTCCTCCCCCTGCCATTGTGCCTGGGATGATACAGATTCAAACAGAACCCCCATCTTGCACAGACAGCTGCCCCTCCAAAGCCCGCCCCCAGCCTGCCACAGGAAGTCTGTCTAGACAGACTGGGCCAACCCAAGAGCCCCTCACCTGCAGGGGCAGTCCACCTGCGCCCTTGGGGTTTCGAGGCCGGGGCTGTTTATTCTGTCTCATCCTGTGCTGGTGTTCTGTGCAGCACTGTATACAAGGTGGCTTAATAGGGCAGCAGAGGCCCCCGGGGCCCCAACACCTCAGAGAACTGCCAAGCCACTTGCTAATTGCCGAAGGTCTCACCAAGGTGACTCACACGCAACACTTCTCATCCACCTCTCCAACATTTACCTTAGTAAGCCACATAACTAGAGCCGTGGCAGTGGCCAGGATGAGAGCCTTTCTTCCATTTGAAGGGACTGAGAGGCTCATACAGTTGCCACATCCAATTGATCCATTGCATGGGCTTTCTTTCCCCCACAATTTTCCCTCTGCACGCACCAGCTGACTAAAATGAGTGGAGAGGCAAACTGGCTCCTGGTCTCTGACCCAAAGCTAGGTCTAGTGATGGGACTATGGCAGGATGGGTTGGGGGGATTGGGACACAAGGTTAACTGGACCAGGTAAACTGCAGAGCAATGGGTACACACTCCAAAGAGCTGTGGCCACAAGCAGCTAGGCTGGAATCATGGGCCCCACCCCAGCCAGTCCACTTACTGGACAGAGACAGGACAACTTGGGAGCAAGGCAACCAGATGCAAGGGCATCCACAGGCATGAAGAACTGGGGAAAACAGCCCTGGGATTCTTGAGTCATCAACCATCTGGATCGGCTCCCCAAGAGCGTTGTCAGGTGGCTGTCCCAAACCTTAAGCCTTTACGTGAACTCAAAAGCTCCAGTCCCTTGTTTTGAGAACCAAGGTTTAGAAACTGACTCACTAGCCCAGCAGCACAGAATTCTTGAGTTTTACACGAGACAATGAATCAATCAGAAACTCAAGTTGGGGTCCAGAGACCTCCACGTTAATGAGCCTCACAGAGGAAGCTGGTACACTGGAGTTTGGGGACCAGTGTTCTAGACCACTCCACGGGATCACACCGGTATTTCCTGCACTGTGCTTGCTGCATGAACCAATGACCAACTTGAACTCCCACCTTTCCACTTCACCAGGCCCTCCCCAACATCCCACCCATCTGACCTGGAAAGAAGGGACACCAGACTGTTAGAGAAATACTGATTTTAATTCAACATAAGGTAAACTCTAGGCATCTGTCATCTTTCAGCCTAAAAATTAGCAAAACTGTTGAAACAAGGCACAATTTTCCCCCATACTTGTTATGTGGCTCCAGTTACAAAAAAAAAATTTATGAAAATGTTAAAAACATAAAAATATAAGTCTGTGATTTTAAAAAAAGTGTATAAAAAATTCCCACAAAACCTGTCAATGTTGTTCCTGATTCTACAAAATAGCACCAGTAAGAAGAGTAAAAGTTGTTAAAAACCATTACGACAGCATTTCTGAAATGCAGCTTGCCCAACCTCCCATCCCCCACTAAAAACTTCTCATGGGATACAAAAGGACTTTAAAATCTCTGGAGGGAAGATCGAGCTTTTTTATTGCAGTTTTCCCCCTGCAATCTCTGAGAGGAGGGGAAAGGGAGGGGAATGTGCTTATGCCCCAGCTGTCACTGCTGCTCAGTTTAGGAAAAGGCTGAGGTTTCGGGGCATCCTACTTCTCATTTGGGGACCTGTGCCTGCAGAGTAGTCCGGAGGGTGCATTCTGGGGGTGGAGGGGATGCCTTCCCTAAGCCTCCTCCTTTGCTCCCTTCACACGGGGCAGACAGAGGGAGAGGAGCAAAGCCATAACCTGTCTGCATGGTACACAGCAGCAGATAACCCAGCCCACCCCTTCCTGAGCAACCTGGAGGGTTCTATTGCAGTCACCTGGAGGGGATTTAGTGAAGGGTGGCTGTCCCCTTGGGTTTGTTGTGGGGGGGTGGGAGGGGAAATAGCCCTGAATGTGATGATGAGATCATTCCTGCTGACATCATCATCATTATGGAAAATACTCTACATGGACCCTAACAGCAGGTCCCAGCCCTTTACACTGAGGCCAAGGGAATGTGCTGGGTAAAATTCAAGACAGACAGGCATCCTTTCCTCTTCTGCTAGCCCTAGAGAAAAAACACACCCAGGGCCCTTAAAATGTCCCTCAGCTACATGTCTACCACTGCGTGCTCCTGGAAATAAGGAGCCACAGATGGTTTATTTAAAAAAAAAAAATATTTATCAAAGCCTTACCAGTAACTGTCTCGGGTGATTTTTCAGCATTAACCTGAGTATTGGAGAGCTGTCGGCACTGTGGTTTTGGTACTTTAGCCATTGTTTCTCTGAGCAGTAAACCCAGGAGGGAAAAAAAGCCATTTTACTACCTACTTCAAGTTTTAAAAGTTTTCAGAGAAGACAAAATGAGCACCGTGTTTGGCCGCTCCTAGCGGCTGGATCTGAATTGTGCAGAAGGAGGTGGCAGCACCTTGGGTTCCCCCTGCCAGGAGGGGGTCACATGGCTCTGCTCCTGCCAAGGTTGTGTGGCGTGACCCCACAATGCTGAGCTGGGGAAGGGTAGAGCGTGGGCTGTACCTACTGGGTGCTGGCTCTACCCCCACAAGCCCCAGTGCTCCTGGGCTCAGGGTGCCTGGGAGGGCTATTCACAGGCAAAGTAGTCCTTCAGGGGGGCGAAGAGGTGTCGGATGACAGGCACACTCCAGGACCTCCCAAGCAGCTTCTGGCGGGCACCACGGCCCATGTTGGACACATCCGTGTAGTGTACAGGAAAGCCGAAGATCCTGGTGGGTGGGGGGGATGGGCACCAGAATAAAAAGACAGGGAGTCAGAAGCACCCCTTCCAGCATGCTTACTGCCTCAGGGAGAGTCTCACACGAACAGCATGGCACTGTTCTTTCTGCCCTGTGTCCCATACTTTCCATCAGGCCAACCAGGCCTTCCCATGACCTCTCGTTGACCTTCAAGGTCAGATCAACCGGTTCTTCAGAACACAAATAACAGTGCCCTCACAGAGGGCACAGTTCCTCTAGGAGGATGTCTGCTGAGTGCATCCCCAAGCACTAGCACTGTGCTCCTGACACATAGCTGGGGCTCAGTGGACCCTTCCCATGTGACTGAGTGAGTGAATGAATAAATGCCAAGGAAGCCAGACAGTAAGCGAACAGACATGTACCTGCCTTCAAACCACAAGAGGAGGAAAGGGAATTTCCTTGAGAAGTAAGGACACTGACAGAAATGGATCATCAGATGCTCAGATAATTAACCTAAGAACACCGAAATATCCTGCATTTTCTTTCCCTCTTAAAAGCCAGTTGTTAGATCAAGGGCCAAGCTGGACTTAATGGCAGATGGCAACCAAATATACCAAGAGCTTCCTCTATGGGATTCTACCAGGCCTGTTAAGAGGCTTCAGATACACCAGTCTGAGGGAAAACCTCAGTCTTTCCCAGGGTTACAATCTAATACTAAAAAGTACACCAATGGGCCAATGGCTGAATGGGTGTTAAGAAACATGCCAAAGATGTAACACCTTGGGCCTATACAGTGCCTGTAAGTGGGCACCCACTCCACTAGGCACCCACCTAGTATCACAGGGCCAGCCTACCATGTAAGGCTTAGGTCTCAACATACAGAATAACCCACAAGATGAATGTGCAAGGTTATCCAACAGCTTCTTTCAATGAGTCAGAAGTTAATTTTCAGACTAAGATAACTATTGTTAAAGATATAAAACCAGTTGCAGGACTGAAGTATCTGGAATGAAAGTACTCTATCAAATCCTTTGAGATGCAGCCAAAAATGTAAAGCAGAATATTCATAGCCCTTTCATTTCTAACAATAAGAACAAAATAAACAGGAAAAACAGAAGGAAAAAAGAACTGAAATCCAACAGCTGGCTCTCTGAGGCTAAACAATTAAACTACCAACTTAGCCAAATAAATGGAAGAAGACGACACACTTTTTGGCTAAGTAGGAACCAGCTTTAGACCAGCAACCTGGCAGAGGGAATCTCCTGAGAAAAAGCCAATGGGCAAGTCAGTGGGGTTTTCTTTACCTGGTTCCTCATATGCCCTGGAGGCCCAGCAGGCTAGGGCACATAAAATGCCAGGGCAGCACAGCAGAAACAGAGATGGTGTGGTCTAATGACCTCATGTTTCAGACTGCTCACCACCACCACCCTTCTGCCACTTCTACCAGGAAACTCAGCACTAAGTCTGAAAAAGTATTACTCCCAGCCCCACTAACATAGGTCAGTGAGACCATGCAGAATTAAGGCAAACACCTGCCCATTTATGCTGTGTGCCTTAACTTCAAGTTCTTCCCCTTTCTCTCTGCCTGTGAGATTTCCCTCTTCACGTGCAGCCCTGCTCACCTTTCTAGCTCAGTGCACCACAAAACATCTTCTTTGCCATTCATGACAACAGGGAAAAGTTGGTTTTTCCCCTGTCTGATCGAGTTCGACTTGGTGGTTATTGTCTGTACTTTCTTTAACTGGAGAACAAAACGACATCATGGAGTGAGCACGGGTTTGGAGGGTCTAGGTCAAGTCAAGGCTCATAAGCACCTAGGGAAGATGGGAGGAGGGTGGGCAGGCGGGGGAAGAGAGGGAGGCAGGCTCACAGAGGGGATGAGAAAAGGAGAGCTGGAAGCAAGAACATTTTGTGCTTCCCACGAACACCAAGAAGTTAATGAACAGGAAGGACCAGCCTCACAGAGAACAACAGATAAAAGTGACCATAAATGAGATCACATGGGGGCCAAGAAAACGCCAGTTAGTCATCAGGCAGGAATAAGCAAAAGTTAAAATCCCACCCAGATTTTGAGGATGGCCCCTGGATTTTGAATGAATGGAACCTAGCCTGATATAAACGTTAAGTTTATGGAGGTCTTCATATAATTATAATAGTACACAACTTTTGTGGCAAAAGTAAAATTACTCATTTGTTACTGGGAAGATGAGTTGCAGTTATCTCTATGAAGTTCTGCATCTGCAACTGGAAAGCTAGTCAGCTTTTCTCGTAGTGCTTATTTGTGTATCAAGAACCTCTCCTATTCTGTGCCTTTGCTTTAAGATGGGACAGAACAATTAAGTGGGGAAAGAGGCCCAACACCAGGGAATTGTGGGGAGGCGGGGTAGGAACAAAATGGACACCAAGGTCAAGTCCTCGCTTGGAGGTCACCAAGTGCATTTCCAGAGACCATTTGTTAGCACGTCTTACCTTTGCTGTCCTATTGAACTCCAAGCAGTCCTGTAGCTCGAGTTTATCATTCTTTGATGCTATCACGGGCCTGGGGACATCCAAAACCCATTACTTTCTTCTACCAACTATAAAGAGGCCTCGGCTAAGCACTTCCCAAGGTGGGAACGAGTGAGGGACGAAGACCGCAAAATGTGCTCTGGCAGTGACCTTGTTATAATTACCTGGTAAGAAATGAGCCTGGCAAGAACACAAGACTATGTACCAAAGCCAGGAACAGACTAGCCCCTTGAGAGGGCAGCCCAATGTCCAAGAGGAAAAGCTCCCCCTTCTCAAGTTTTAGTATTACTCAGAGCCTTCTTGCAAAGAGAATAGGGTGAAGGAAAGCACACTAGGAGTCCGGAGTCCCCACCAGTCTGGCCCCACTGCTCACTGAGTGACCCAAGCCAAGCCAGGCTGCCTCTCTGGGCCTCAGGAGCTTGGATTAGGTCTTTGCAATCTACCTGCTGCTACCAGCACATGAAATCCATGATCTGGTGGCATATGGCTGGTGAGGCAGCTTCTGGGCAGTTTCAGGGCTGACCAGAGGTACAGGTAAGGACAGGAGATGGTTGATGGTAACAATAATCCTTATCACTTTCATTACTTAAACCTGCAAATGCAGAGAGGCAGACAGATGCCTGAGAAGGCAAAGGGCTAGAACTTGAGTGGTTAAGCTTTCCAGAGGAGAAAAGTCAGCAAAAAGTCTGAATGTATTGAGATGATGAACACCACAGCAACCCCTGTGTAAGGAACTTCAAGGCCAAAGGGAAATCAGATTAAGAACTAATGATGCCCAAAAGAGAGGCCACTGAATCACCCAAACCATTTCCCTAGATTCTGTCAGATTTTCCTGACCTTACCTTCCAGACTAAATGCCTGCCTACCCCCAATCTTGACTCTTCCATGAACCCAAAGGAGCTGGGGGACAGAGCACAGCCCTAAGTGTGCTGACTGTAGGACTGAGATCTACACAACCTAGGCACTGGGTCAGACAGCTGTATTTAGGTCTGTGACCCAGTGATGGTTGGGTCACCCATCCTCGAGCCTGCAGGGCCCAGCTATAGCCACTAGTAACTCAGGCAGAATGCTCTGGAGGCTCTGCAGACGATTTTCATCGGATACTCTACATTCAAGACATCAGCAAATCCTGTTACTCCTACCCTGACATTACCTACAATCTAATCCCTCCTGCTAAGTTCCACAGAATTCATGAGCTGCCAAGCCCCCAGAGACCCACGCTTGCATTGTGCGGACTATGAATGCATGTATGGTGCCTTCTGGGGTCCTCCTCTGAAAACCCACCCTCACTGGTCTCCCCACTGCTGCCCTCATCTTGCTGTTGTCTATCCTCCTACGAGCAATTACGACGAACCTGAGATGTATCTCTCACCTACTTTTTTTTTTTTTTAAAGATTAGGTCTTTTTTTGTTGTTGTTGTTAAAAGATCTTATTTATTTATTTGAAAGAGAGGCAGTGAGAGAGAGCATAAGTGAGGAGAAGGTCAGAGGAAGAAGCAGACTCCCTGTGGAGCTGGGAGCCCGATGCGGGACTCTATCCCGGGACTCCAGGATCATGACCTAAGCCGAAAGCAGTCATCCAACCAACTGAGCCACCCAGGCGTCCCTATCTCTCACCTACTTAAATGACTCATGTGTTCCCATGCATTAACTCTCAAGTGCCACACAATTTGGCCCATACTCAAGGCCTCTGCCTTATTGTCCCAGCCACTCTGGGCCACTCGGCAACACAATTCTCTGAGCTGCTCTTCCAATTCACTGTTCACCATCGACCCTTTCCCTATTCCTTCTGCTGGAATGTTCATTCTTCCCTCAATCAACTGCATGGCTCCATTCCTTCCCTTAAAGGCCCTGCCAGAATAAGCAGCCTCCCCATCAATTCCTCTGATGCCCCCACCTCCAGCCAGGACCATGAAATGTACGGTCTTTGCTACTCAACCCCCATTAGCATGTCAACTCCATGAGAGCCAAGACTGACATCTAATGTGTTCAGCACTAAGCTGGCAGCACATACAGCAACGCCTGGCACAGTGGGAGAGCTCGACTGCTGAGCGAAGAGCCCTCTTCATCCGACATGAACATTTTCCATTTCACTGGCTAATTAGCCAAATAAAAATGCAACATATCCAACAGAAATCCTACTATCTATTCTAGCAACTTCTCCCCTCTGTTCACACTTTGCTAAATGCCTGAAAGTTATTATGCTTCCAGCACTTTCTTCTGAAGGAAAAAAAAATTTTTTTTAAGCTTAACTTGCAATTTGCAAGTCTTGGATGTCATATTACCATCACATTTTCTATCTTAATTAGCAGGTTGTTCCCCTGGAAACCACATGGAGGAGATAATGAATCTTCAGCAAAGACACTTACTCTGTGGCTTTCAACATGCAAAGACTAATAAAGTTGGGAAAAGCTCTTGGTTAAGGAAATCCAAGGGGACAGGTTATCTCAGCTTTGCCACTGGTTTGGTCGCCATGGGGCTCACCACCAGGGCTCACATCGTCTAACCATGGACTTGTATTTCCCAACAGGAGAGTAACTGAAGAGGTAGGATACAGAAGCATCAGCACTCTGTCCATGCTGTTTCAGCACCAGGCCCTTTTTAAGAACCTGTCCCACGGGCAGAGTGGGACTAAGTCAGAGGAGACTAATCCCAGCCTCAGATTTCTAGGTCGGTGCCACGCTTCCCAAAAAGGCTTCAAACATGGCACCGGGGACTGGTCTGAATCCTAGGTGGGGGCATTTCTCAGCAGAGCCAGTGCTTTCTAGAAGGCTTGAATGGGTCTCTGAGTCACACGAGTTCACAGTTCGGCCTCACATCATTAGTTATACTTAACTTGGCTGTTACCTGTCCCACCTTGAGCCCCTTGTTACCTGTTCATTCCCGGCAGGTTGCCCCAAAAGTAGCGGGCCCTGTGAGCAGCAGACACTTTGATGGCATCAATCATCACTGGGTTACACTGCAGAGAGAGGAGGGACAGCCGCTGGGAGCCCATATCAGAACTCAAGTGGAAGCCAGCTGGAGTGGGGTCTGACCTGGGTAGGTGACAGGCCCCCTACCACCACCACCCCAGCTATAGAAGCAGCATGGTTCCTGCCAGCCAGCAGACAGACCAATTCCCCATCAAGAACTCTGGCAGGAAAGGCAGCTCAAAATTGGCATCTGCCAAGCTGGGGGTTCCTGGCTGCAGGAATGCAGAACTAACAAAACACAGCTTCTGTCACCATTTTGCCAGGTTCACAAAGCCGTGAGGAAACTGGCCAGTTCTATAACCTCTCCTACAGAATGTAGGCGGCAGAGTTTTGAATAAAATGAAGTGTATAAAAAGCATTTACTCTAATGCCTGATGATAATGTTTCATAATGAAGCGACTGTAGCCCTAAAGTAGCAGTTGTCAAAACAGGGATGAGAAAAAACTCCCTGGAGTAAACAGAGTTTAGTCAAATCTCCTGAGGCCCCCAAAAGTAGAGGATTTCATCATCTGACTTCAGGGGGTCTGGTTGAAGTTAGAGATCAAATATTTTCCATGCACTAAAAAAGAATCACCCACATGACTCCATTAGTTTTGGATTTCGCCGTGTCCTCTACTAGGAGCCCAGGATTACTCCCAAGAGCAGAAACACCCAACCAATCCCCAATGCCAAGAGGGTGTTCCCTGTTGTCTCAACAACCTGGACCAAAGGTGATCTCACCTCCAGGAAACGAGAGATGTCCCTCTTGTCGCCAACCTTCATGGCTACCACATTCTCAAACATCCAGAAGAAGGGCCGGTCGTCCCCCTCCTTGGGGCGTGTGTAGTTCAGCAGGTGGTAGAACTCAAAGAAGAGGCGACCTGTGCCCTCTAAGACACAAAAGAAGATGGCAGAGGCAGGTTCAAATTCCTTAGCCCAACCGTCCATAGAGACACCAGTGGGTTCCCAGTGATTGCCTGACTACAGCCGACACCATATAGTTCCCTTCTACCTGCACTCCTCTGGAAGGACTAAGGACACAGGCATCAGCAGGGCAGTAATTCATTACTATACTATCTCTGAGGAGAGGACATACAACGTACATAAAGTTGCCAGACAACAATTCCTCCTGAGACCAGTCCTTCTCAGCACTCAGGTGACAGAGGGTCTCTTAGGAATGCTCACCATACAGGCCTTTCCTGGCAGGGTTCACATTGGAGAGATCATTGCATGGGCTTCCACCAATCACCAAGTCAAAGGGGCCCCATTCTTCAATCTGTGAGAGAAAAATAGTCGCTCTCAGTGGGGGGTGAGGATGAGAAAACCCTAGGGTTTTCTAGGGTGTGTGGCTGGCTCAGTTGGTGGAGCACACAACTCTCAATCTCAGGGTTACGGGTTCAATATCCATGTCTGGTGTGAACCCTACTGCGAAGAAAAAAAGACAACTCACTCCTAGCATCTCACTTCGTCAGTTAAGTCCCCCAAATCTTCTTCTCAACCAAGACAACTCAATGCCCCAGATTTCCAAAATTCTAAATCATTTTGAATGATTTGCCAACTTGTGGGTCTTGGCAGCACAGCTCGATGCAATCCCTGGTTCGCTCTTCTACCAGGGCCCTGGGCCCTGGGAAGGGGACCACGTGGGCATGAGGATGTGTGAGGCTGACAGCATGGAGGAGCAAGAAGGGGTGGGTAGGGCAGAGCCCAACAGGAGTACAGGCTGCCCTCACATTTCTCTTTGTGATGTTCCTGACGTCATTCACGTATTTGATGTTCCCCTCATGCTTCACAGTTCCAACAGCAATGGATTCTTCGCACACCTCAGAGGCGACGTACTTCTCCACTTTGATGCCCAGTTCTTTGAGGACCAAGTACCCTATAGGGTGTCGGGGGACAGGAAGTACATCAGGGTTGTCCTCCCCGGGCACCCTCCCTCCAGTGATTCTAAACCATCTCCAGCAAGGACACGATGGTCCTCGAGGGAACCCACGCGGATGCCACAGAGACCGCACGCTGGCTACACTAGGCTCCCTGGATGGTGACTTTCATGAAGAAAATACATAGGTAAGTGGCAGAGCCCACCGCAGGACCTACTGAAATGGACAGGCACATAGCCGGGGCCCCAGAACCTACCACCTAGCACAGTCAAACACAGACACACAGACAGGAATCTGCACCAAAACCATGTTTAGAAAACAACCTCAAGGCCTGGTGGCAGAGCCAAGGCCCAGTTCCACTAGGCATGATCTGCACCAATACAGATAGTCTTGAAGACCCAAGAAGAGTTGGGGACCACAAAGTAATGACCTAGGGGAGTCATTAAAAGCTGTCAATGACTTAGGATTCTGGACACCAAAGTACACACATTAAGTACAAATGATGCAAACAGCTCATTTCTACCGCTCCCTGCTCTGGGCATAGAGATATTCCTGACAACACATCACAGGGTAGCTTTTCGGATTCAATGAGTTTGATCAGACAAGTCCCCCAGAGGCAGCATGCGTGCTGGCCATGCCATGCTTCCTAGGGCCTTGGGCAAGCTGAGGGAAATGGGAGAGCACCAAAAGAGGAGGTATCAGGACCTGCCCAATTCAGCTCCAACAGATGTAACCTTATGGAACAGGAAAATCATTTTCTAAGATACCTGCATGTAATAAATAATTCCAACACAGCTAAGAAATACCTGCCCTTATAAAGGCCCAAAGGAGGCCCAATAGGTGAAATGGTAGAGAGGTTTGAGGAGAGAAACAAGGAGCCCGTGGTTTTCTCTCAACAGGTCATCCCAGGGGTCTGTCTTGGCACTGATGACAGGACACGTGGAGCAGGTGAGCGTCCCTACATAAACTCCAAACTCACCTGTTGCAATTCCATCAAACAGGGACAAGACTCGAATGGGCCGCCTTCGGGCTGCGGGAATCGCAGGGTATAACTTGGGGGCTTCCTGCCAGGTTAAAGAAGGAGGTCATGGAAGTCACGGTGGAGGGGGTGAGACTCAGCCTCTGGGAGGGCAGGGCTGACCTTCCTCTGAGTCACAAACCCTGTGGCTCTGCAACTTCCTAGCTGGGATCCCCTGGAGAGCTCTGGGCCTGAACAGCCATCCTTCCCTCAGACATGGACATAGACTGCGACTTTGATACAGATGCACACACACAAACACGATTCCCTACACAGGAATGACCTGGAGCCTCCCTCCAAGAACTGCAGGCAGGAGCCCAGGAAAATCCACTCCCACCACGATTTCAGTGTTATGTCTCAGGTTCCCCTTCCCTCTTCAGCTCCGCTAAGACTAAGGCTTGGTTAGTTCTGTAATCACTTCTTCAGCAGGCCCGGGAACATCCATATAGTGAGAGGGTGTGAAGGAGGAACACCGGAGAAGTCTGACAGCTAGAAAGGGGACCAGGTCTGCGGCTCTCGGATGCTCGTCTGTACAAGGAATCTTTCCCATTAACTCTTGCCAACAGACTTGCGGAGTGCTCCAGACCCCTGAAGCTCTGGGGATGGGTGGTGCAGGGGTTCCATGTGGCTTACGTATTCAAGCCCCGGGTCGCTGGTGAAGAAGGCCTGCAGGCGCACGTTCCAGTCCTTTCGGCGCCGCAGGACACCGTGACAGCGCTGCGGGAGGCACATAAAGCAGCTCCACGGCTCCTGCAGCTTGGCGTCCTCCGCGGTGCCTGTGCCCACCAGCACCTCCAGGCATTCCACGCAGAAGCACCTGCGCCCGCCAGCAAGGGAGGAGGACACCCCCGTCAGCAGGCAGATCCCCTGCCGCTCCCCACAGTCCCCCTGAAGATGGCAACAGGCAGCCTGGAACCTTCTCGGGCCCCTTGTGCTCTTCTCCATGGGCTGGAAGGCACAGTGTCAGGAATCAGGCTCCATTGACCTGTCCCTTGAGGACCAATGTGTGCACCCACAACCCACAGGCTGGTGCACAGAAAAGCTCCCTGGTGCACCCCACAAGTCGGCCCACCTCCAGCAAGGCTTCCCTACCCTCAGGGACCACCACTCTTCAGCCCAGCTGTGCACCCCAGTTCTACGTCAAGGACACAAAGACCATGGTCTTGCAGACCCCTCGCCAGGACCCAGCCATCTTGTCAGGGATCCCTCGGGGCTGCAGGCCTGCCCCGCCCTGCTCACCGACAGCAGCTCGTGTTGCTACACAGCAGCAGCTCACGACCCTCACAGCACACCGTGCAATAGGACTGATAGCCGTCGTCGTCGTACATGTAGAAGAGCTCGAGGAAGCGGTCCTGGCAGCCAGAGAGAAGCGCCTGTGAGACTGGGGGCCAAGGACCTCCAGGCCCCACTTGTCCATTGGCCGAGACCCTAGCACGCGACCGCAGAACAGATCACAGGGTTGCTCTGGCGCCCCTTTCCAGGGCCACCAGCTGGGGTGCAGGACAGCTTCGCTGCTGCAAAAGCCAGCCCTTGGGAGGGGACAGCTTCACTAGGGCCTTCCCTATGGCGACACACAAGTGCTTTTTCCTGGGAAAGTACAGCAGAGCTGAGGGAAGGGGCCAGAAAGCCCAGAGCCAGGCTTACACTTACCCGGCACGTCTGGCAGAGCCCCCCCTCAAAGAGAGGATGGAAGGACACGGGGTTTTTCCGACCACAGGACAGACAGCTATCTGCAGGAAAGACAGGGATGCAACTGGCAGCACTTACAGCCCCAATACCAGGGCTGAAGCCTTGAGTCTAACTCCGAACAGTTACTCCAAGCGAGCAAAATCACAAGGGTTCCTCACGCTCTGTTCCTTTCAGCAATGCTTCAAAGCTGCCAGCCTCGTTCCAGAGATCGGGAGAGGCCGGAACAGGAGCCCCAAGCAGGAGGTCCCAAACATAGGCAGAGGTCTGGGCATGTTGGAAGACCTGGGGCAGGACTCAGAGCCAAGGCCATGATAGCACAGGGACTTGCTTGGGAGAGCCTGGTATGAAACTCTTTGAGATTCTTTAAAGACAAACCTGGGAAATTTACGGTGAGGCCAATTTGCTTTTGTCTTCCTAAGAATTGCCTACAACCACCCCCACACACAGCCATGGGTGTACTCAGAACAAGGGTTCCCCTTCCTATTAGGACATCCAGATGCCCTCACACCAGCAGGCCAGGACTCACTCACACCACTGGTCATGTGGGCAGGGCCATTATGATGCCTGAGACCTGGGTGCCTGGGTGGTACAGTCGGGTTAAGCATTTGACTCTTGGTTTTGGCTCAGGCAGTCATCTCTGAGTTAGGGGACTGAGCCATGCCCTGGGCTCCGCTCTCAGCAGAGTCTGCTAGAGATTCCTCCTACCTATACTCTGGCTCTCTAAAATAAATAAATCTTAAAAAAAAAAAAAAAAATGCCTGAGACAAAGCATCCCCAGCCAGGCAGCACAAATAGGTGATGAGTCTTGAGGAATGGAAGGATTATGTGTCAAGGTTTCCAGAATCAACAGGAGGAACTGCTCCAAATGTGAGCTTTCCCCAGGGTGTTGTTTTCCTACCCAGAGTTGAGATAACCACTCAATAAATATTTGTTAACGAAAGGACATCAGTCTAAGGAAGCAAGGGAGAGTCCATTTGTTCTCACACATTCTGAATTCAGTTTGATACATTCTGGGCAGTGTTTTAATTCCAGTGGCTAATTCCCAGCCAGGACAAACAGACCAGAGTTGGCTTGAGAGACTGACCGTGGTGAAGTGTGTGTCTGCCTTGCACCTCAAAGCCTGCTCCAGTTCTTGTCTGGGAAGACCCAAGATGCCACAGATACTGGTTTTCAGGTTTGGGGTTCTCTGGGCCAAACTACCCCAACCCCACTGCCTTGCTCACTCACAGGGGCAGAATCAGGCAATGTATTCTATTAAATGCAGCAACAAAGATGAGACCACCCCAACCCAAGGCCAAGGCACTCTTGGACTCCAGCAGGGCAGGAAAGCAGGCTAAAGCTAAGTTCAACCCTGAGCACTACACAGGGCGTGAAGGGGAGACCACCAAGGGAAGAGCCCCTTACCTTCCAGGTTACTCTTGTTGTTGCTAACATCCAAAGCCATTTGTTCTGTTGAGAAAAGAGCACAGATGTGGCACGGAGTCAGGGAGCGGCTTCCTCCATGAGGCAGGCACACACCCCTGCTGAATGGCCCTTCCTGACGTCTGCCCCGACTGCAAGTGAGATCGACCCCACCAGCCTCCTCACTGGCCCATGGTCACCTCGACTCTGGTCCTCCTCTCCTCGGTCTTTGCCATTGTTGTAGCAGTTGGTCTTTAGGCGTTTGGGTGGGGGGCAGTAGTCGGAGGCAGCAGAGTCGTCAGCTGTACGTCTTCTGGTCTTGTTCTCTGTGAAAGGTAAGGAGATGGCAGCCGGGGCAGCAGCACAGGGGGGATCAGGGGACTGGGATAGAACCACGCCATGCCTGGGTGCCTACCGGCATCTGGGCCATGACATGGGTCCACACTGCGTGTCCTACAGCCCCTCTGTGGGCAACTTGGATGAGAACAGAATTCAGAATTCCTCGCTATGTTTTTATAGGGGTTTGAACAGCAATGGGTGCCATATCTGGCACAGGAAAATGAGACCCAGCTTCGTCTCTGATGCCAGCACAGAGTAACAGCCACATGTACTGACTCAGCACTAGATAGGACTTGTGTACCTGAGTGACTCCATTTCACCTTTAATCCAGAAATACGCTAAAAACCAGAAGTGGAGCCAATCAACTGGTTCATCAGGAACTTGGGTCATCCATAAAAATAGATGATCTAGTATTTCTAATGAAAACAGCATAAAAACTGAGCGATCCCTAAGTCCTCAAAATAACAGATTTTGAAAACTGCTCTAAAAATTTTAACTTTCAACTCTAATTTTTGTTCAGATTGTTAGAAATAGTAAAATGCTGGAAATACTGGATTTATATTAATTTCACCCTTTTTTGGTACTTTTTCCAATGTTGCTACTAGACAAAAGTCTATTATTTGGCCACTGTTTATGTATTTCTTTAAGTTCCCATTACATTTTCATTCAGTCTATAAATACGACCTATGAGGAACATGGTTAAAGGAAATCATGTAGCCATTAGAAATCGTAAGGACACTTTAGTGACAAAATTACATTTGACAGTGCATACACTATTAGAATTGCAAAACAAAGGGAAAGCAGGAATCCAACTAGTGTACAGAAAAGGCTGGAAGGATGTGCACACCCAACGTTAACCTGGAGGGCAGTTGTGAGGAGGGTTGGGAGTGAAGGGGTGGGTGAGGGCTCAGGTTGACTTTTTAACAGATTGGATTCTTTCCCAGTGACCACTGTATATGCAAGAAATGGAAAGATAGTACAGAGAAAACAGTGCATAGTCAAAATATGGGAAGGGAATACCGTATTTCCTTGATTCTAAGTTCCCACTGCCTGCACGACGCACCTTCGACTTATTAACCACTTATTTGTTGGGGGGGGGGAACAAAACAAAACAGAAAATACTATGTTAAATGTATGGATTTTTAAGACAAATTCTGGATTTCAGGCATCTGGGATTTCTGGAGTGACATCTTTCATTAGAGGAGATATGGTACTGGTCAAACCCTTAGGATGGGAGATACCTCTTTCTGAATGGAGGTGGCTTACAGGGTTGGGATGGGGGGGGAACAGGGGTTAACACTTCCATGTTTTCTCCAGTGAGCACAGCTTATTAATTTTTCCTTTTAAAAAAAAAAAAAAGGACCAGGGTGCCTGGGTGGCTCAGTAGGTTGGGCCTCTGCCTTTGGCTCAGGTCATGGTCTCAGGGTCCTGGGATCAGGCCCCACATTGGGCTCTATACTTGGCAGGGAGCCTGATTCTTTCTCTCTCTCTGCCTGCCTCTCTGCCTACTTGTGATCTCTGTTGAATAAATAAAATCTTAAAATTTAAAAAAAAAAGGCACCAATGAAGATTCCATCTTGGCCTTCTGTTTACTCAAGTTTTCAGAGCAGATTCAACCCAATTACGTGTACTTGACCTTCAGCAGGGAAAACGTGACTAGGGAAGCTGAAAAAGGCTGGGCTGTTTGCTTTCCCAGCTTCCCTGGGGGTTCACAGGGTGACAGAGGCCCAGGGCTGACAGGAGGGTAGGTGGCAGCAGGGGGGACTGCATCTCCCAAGAGGGTCCCCACCAGCAGTGGACATTGGGTGCTGCCCAGGGACCCAGTCCCACCTGGTTGCTTGTTGTTTGGTTTGAGGCCCTCGATCCCAGTGGGTTTAAAGCCCCCGTGGGCCCACTCTAACATGGGCTTCAGCTGATCCTCCAAGGAGTCTCCAGGATTGCTGGGGAAAGTTTTGCCAGCCCGCACCCTGGCCTTCTGCGGAGATAAAGAGGCTCTGATGAACGGGAGTTGGGGGGGGGGGTCCTAGCCAGGCCACACCCAGGGACTCCCCCAGCTGGGGCCTGCATTCCTCTTCACACTGGTCCCTTTCATAGCCCAGCAGCTGTCCTGAGCTGTGGTATGTGAAAGGGAGGAGGGGCCTGTGTAGGAAGACAGGCAGGCAGGAGGCCATGGAGGGGGAATTCAGTCTCTCCATGTAGATACCAAACATGATCTCTTCCCCATAGGGCCAGGAGTGCTCAGTTCCCTCTCAAAGGGCAGAGGATTGGCAATACGAGAAGTACCAGCCAGCATGTCTCACTGTCTCTGATAAGTTTCAGATTTCTGGTTTTATTTCCCCTACCAATGAAGCTGGGGAGGTCTCAAGTATTAAGTCCTATTTCAGAGACACCAAAGTTTTACATGTCTAATTAAGCATAGAGACAGGCTCATGAATGCTGGACCAAGGCCACGGACCATTACATTTCCAAGGACCATTACATTTCCGAATCAAGGCAGAGGGAATGAATGACAGGCCTGAGGACAAGGAGAGGAAGCAGCTGGCCTCAGCTGCTCTCCAGTCTTGACCTCCAACCACACCACTCAAAGGAAGGAGGCTTTGAGGCCCTGGAAAAGCTTATTCAGAGATAGGAATATTTGTCTCCTGCCCCTGAGGGTTCCTCTTCCCTCCGTCAGCGAGCATCGTAGCTGGGGGTAGTGCTGGGAACTCATGGAAGGTCTCAAATCCCTTCCTTTCCTTCCTAGTCAATGGGCTCCTGTCATGTTTACATACACTTTCTCCTTGGTGGCTCTGCCCCCCGCTACCACTGGGCACACTGGGGCCTGAGGTGGTTTTCTAGAAGTCTCTCACTTTACCTCTGTTCTCAGGGTCAGGCCCTCACCACCCACTACCATGTTACCTCCAATGCATGGTACATGGCCTTCCTGTAAGAGACCAGCTTATTGAAGGTCGCCAGGTTGAAGTGCTGGCTGAACAGCCCCAGGGCCACTAGCTTATCTGCAGACACCTAGAAGAGAAAGCCATCATCAACATCCATGTACAGCCTGGGTCTGGAGTGTCCTGGGTCTCTCCCAGCTTTATTCCTGCAGATCAAGCTATAGACTAGAAAGACAGCAGAAAACAAACAGGAGCATAGCCTCTTAACATACCCTATAGCCAGAAGCATGGCGAACATGACACTCCAAGTGGGAGAAAGTAGGATTCTCCGAAGGGATACGATCAATCGTGCCCTTTATTTGTATATATTCTAAGATCCACGGACCCACAGGGTTGTTGGTATAGGTCCCTCTCAGTCTTGACATTCACCATGGATGCCCCGACATTGGTGCCTTTGCACGTGTTCTTTCCTCCTTCCAGAGCATGACAAACAGCTGTGATGTAGGCTTTTATTAACAGAATTGATTTAATGCACGTATTTTGAGAACACTGCTTGGCACAGAGTGAGCAGTTTTTAGTTACTGTGATTTGTTGCTATGTGCCTTCCACTGGGGCTAAATATCCCTAGTCCACAAGGCTCACACCCTGAGTCCCCTGGCTGTGCACGAACACGTTAGGTTGCAGATGGGACAAGACGAAACTGGTGTTCGGGGACACTGATCAACCCTGAAAGCCATGTGACCTTCCCTTCGCCTGAGGGCTTGCTTACTCTCATGCCAACCTCTGTTTCTTTTCATCTCTCACCCTGACCTCCCATGAGGGGCTATTGCTACCATTTATAAGAACCTAGGGATCAGGGGTGCCTGGGTGGCTCAGTGGGTTAAGCCGCTCAGGTCATGATCTCAGGGTCCTGGGATCGAGCTCTGCATTGGGCTCTCTGCTTAGCGGGGAGTCTGCTTCCCCCTCTCTACATGCCTGCCTCTCTGCCGGCTTGTGATCTCTGTCAAATAAATAAATAAAACCTTTAAGAAAAAAAAAAAAAAAGAACCTAGAGATCAGTGAGGTCGTACATAGAAATGCAGGTGCTGTTCCGAGCACTAAACTGCTCTAGGACAGTGTAGCCCAAGCACCAGGACCTGTGTGGCAATCCCGTACTATTATGCTAGCAGCCACACAAGTCATCCTATTAGCATCAGACCCTGTCTTGCAAGCTCATTATAGGTCTCATTGGGCCAAAAGCAATTACAAACAATCCATGTTTCTCTTCCTTTCACAGAACTCATGGCCCACATCCCTGCAGTTAGGATGCTTCAGGGAGAGCAAAGGCCCAAGACATTTGTCATCCTGCTCCCTCTGCTGGCCAGGCAAAGTATCTACATGCATTCTACCTGCCAGGGAAGACTCTCGGGGAGTGTCAGTGTGTTTAGGGCAAATCCAAATCATGGTGGAAAAAAGAACCTCAATTTGAGGTTCCTGAATCCCACAGATGTACTGGGAGGTTCTCTATTCCCACATCTGCCTCCATCCCAACCCAGCTTGCTACTGTTCCCCATCAAACCTCTGGATATAAAGGTGGGACTGACATTTCGAAAAGAGACCATCACAGGCCAAGTATTGCCTACACTGTTCTCATCACAACCCGAGAGCTCAGAATGTGCCGTTGACAAGGTTTAAGGAAACTGCCAGATTCACGTCCAACAAACAAAGCTCTTACCCCACAGACTTCCATCAAGAAGGAACTTAAAATGGTTAAGAAAACAAACAAACAAACAAAAACTACAAAGTTTAGGACACCTGGGTGGTGTGGTCGGTTACACAGCTGACTCTTAGTTTCGGCTCAGATCATGATCTCAAGAGTCATGAGATCAAGCCATGGTCTCGTTTTGTGCTCAGCTCTTGTCCCCCCAACCCCCACGTTCCCTCCCAAATAAATAAATCTTTAAAGAAAAAAGCTTAATACCAATAATAACAAACAAACCCTAAAATCAGTTGTCTGCAATGCCCCTAGGCCCACCTCTCCTCCCATGCCCCTCCCCACACCTCTCAGAACAAACAGACCACCTTCCTGTCTCTTCCAGGCTTCTCAAAAGAGAATCTTTGAGTTGTCTGCCCAGGAATCCATCCTGGTGACTCTGCCCTGAGAAATAAGTAAAAACCAACAGAGCACAAGTGGCCACAAGTGGCTTCAGAATACTTTCCAGCTTTTCAACTCCTGTTAAGTGTAGACAGACTAAGCTCTGGGTCTGAGAGACCCTGTATGTCTTTTATGTCAGTTAACAGGAAATTTTTGTCCTTCCTAGACACGAGGAGTCAAAGAGCCTCACCCATCTGAAGAAAGCAGTCACAAGCCACGCATCTTAAAAAGTCAAGTATACAAGTTAATAAAGGAAACTAAGGAAATGGGTCTGTGGCCCATGAGAGCCTGCCTGGCCCGACTCACCTCAGAGAACTTGCCATCACCAAACCACTGGACCCACCGCATGCCGGACATGGCCTGGCGCTTGGAAGTGGCCTTCCATGACACCACCATGGCAGGCCACCAGGAGAAGCCCTTGATCTTTCCCCACACAAGATCCCCTATCCCGAACTCCTTCCCATCCTGGAAAAAAAAAAACCACATGAAGGAATCCCAATGAGACAGATCACCTGGGCCAAGGAAAAAATCTTGTCCACCCCACTAACCCCAAAGGCCACTGACCCAGGGTCCAAGTTGGACCATTACTTTGAAAAAGTAAGAAATAGGAGTGAGAACCCCTTGAATATATACTTAAGGGGTCAGTTTGGTTTTTTGACAGGAACGTGGGATTTATTAAAATTTGTGAAATTTCACCTTTAACATTTAACCTCATATTTGGGAATCAAAGATGTCAACTGAAAACACAGGAAAGTAAGACTAGAGTTAAGCCATGACAATCACCTGGGGTTTTCCATGGTCAGTCTAACAGGCTATTCCAAATCCATTAAAAAGCAAATTGTGGACATTTGCACTCAAAAAGCTGAACCATGAAATGTCAAATACCCATGAAAAAAAAGGTTACTCAAACAGACCTAAAATCTGATAAACATAGGAAACAAGACTTCTTTGCAACAGATGTCCACACAGGGTATGAACCCAGCAGTGGAGTGAACCACCCCCACCAGTTAATCACGGACAATACACAAGACAGGATTACAGAATACAGGGGACCACAGACCTGAGAGAGGTGACTCCAGCTCCTAACAAAGTAACTAGGCTACAACTGTACATAAAACATGAACAGAATCACACCACATGTTACATATACAAACAAGGAACGTGTATTTGATGATACAAATATGTGACATTCAGAAATTCATTCATCAGGTGCTTGAATTACTACTGGCAGAACAGCAGGATAAAGGAAGGAGACATTGCATATGGAAAATCTGTAGACTAAAGAAATTCAAATATTACAACAGACGCGACCCCTCCCCCCCAAAAAGGTAAGAATAACCCTGATGGGTAAGCGTGCTCTTCCTTATTATTTAGCCCATCCTTGTGGTACCTGATACTCAGCGCTGTCGGCATCTCTAGCCTCTGGGTCCACCTGTGGGGACTCAGGGCCATCCTGCTGGCTGTCCTGGGCAAGGCGGGCGTAGGGGGTACTGCTGCTCTGGGGCACCACGTCATCATCCGTGAGGTCAATGGTGAGGTAGGGGCTGGCTGGGGACGGCCACGGGGTGCCTGCCAAGGATACTGTCCGCCGCCTCAGGGACTGTGGACAGAAAGACACGGAACTTGGGCCACAGCAAACCAGGTAGGTGACCAGAGACCAGTGGAACCCCAGTTGCTTCCCAAATGAGCAGAAACAGTGAAGACGTAAGTTGAAGGGAAGAGACCACCAAGGACGGTTTTCCAGGAACCATTACTCCTCAAGTGGTGGGAAAAAACCTCCTTCAGGAGAGACAGAATCAAGGACAAAGGCGGAATAATGATGAGGGATGCCGAGAGCCTCTGGGAGCCAAGCTGAGAGAGGGCCGCTGGTTTCCTCAAACGCTTACTGTGTGCCCAGCTTTGCACCAGGAGTGGAGAATTGCAGTAACCACTGGGGTTGCCTCAAGACAGTCAAAGATGATACCAGGGAGACAAAACAGTTCTGGAGTAAGGAGTTTCAAGCTCATTCCCGAGGAGGAGCTAAGAACCCTGTCAATAGGGGAATTTGCACATTCCCACCCGAGTTCCATGCAGGATCAGGCCAGGAGAGAAATCATTGGGCTTAAGAGAAGTTTACCCAGCAACCAGAAAGGAAGCAAAGGCAAGACCGTGAAAAGGTAGTAAGCATGAAGAACGGATGTAGGTTACACACCCGCCACTCTGGGTGGCCCAGTGAGAGGAAGATCTTCCCCTTAGAGAGACTGGGGTTATCTGGGGGAACCAACCCTGGTAGCTGAAAACTCCACGGGGGACTCATCCACGTGATTGCGGCCCTGCCGGCCTCGGGTGGAACGTGGGGAGGGCCGGGGCCGCTCCCGGCTGGAGGCACTGGTGTTATTTCGAGTTCGGACCTGGAAGCAAGAGAGGATAAGCACGAGGCCACTGGTGACTATAGGCATGGAGTTCCGGACAGGGGGCCAAGAGGACCCGACTGGAAAGGTCACCTTGCATCAACAGAAGTGAACAAGGTGGTTAAGCTAGGGAAGAGTTCTGGACTGGCCACGTTCCCCCCTTCCCTGAAACTTCCATTAGTGGGGGGGGGGGGGTAGGGTGTCCCCAGGCCTGCCAGCAGCCCGCAGCAGATCCCAGGCTGCCGACCAAGACAGCAGGCAACTGCAGACTGAATGAAGGCTAAAATCCAAAACAAATACTTTCCCCCAAAAGCATTGGAATAATTTGTTGCCTTCTTCAGGAAGGTACTGGAACATCAAGAGGAAAGCCCTTGGCATGAACCTGCAACATCTCTTTTCAAATCCTACACATGAAACTGACTATTCATGGGGCACCTGGGCTCAGGCGGTTAACGGCTGACTCCATTTTTCCGCTCAGGTCACGATCTCAAAGTCCTGGGATTAAGCCCCACACTGGGCTCCACATTCAACAGGGAGTCAGTCTGCTTCAGGATTCTTTCCCCCTCTGCCCCCACCCTGTTTGCTCACTCATTCTCTCTCTAAAATCAAATCAACCAATCCTAAAATAAAATTTCAAAGATTCTTAAAAAGAATTACTGTTTAACTTTGGTAAATTACTGGAATCTTCTCGTCTGTAAGAAGAGCATGACATACATCGCATGCTGGGTGAGATTATAAACTAGACCTACAGGGGTCACAAAGTGAACCCCCCACCCCCACTCTCCAACAGGATGGGTGTCATTAGCAAAGACTGCCTTTCTAGGCCTCACACTGTCAGTCACAGAATCTACTTGCAGAAAGAACTCCCAAAGGCAATCACTGGTTGAGCCATCCAGCTACAAACTATCTCTCTTGGGCACTTAAAGCCAGAAGTGCCCAAAGAGCTGAAAACCTGCCCTGTGAAAGCAAGCCTTTACAAAAATAGTTCACAAACCTTGTGGTCATTTTCCAATTTCTAACCATTTGTTCACCTCGCTCTCTAAACCTCCAAGGAGAAAGGAGGATCCAAGACAGGTTTCTTCCACGCAGGCCTACATGTGGTCAGAAGGGCTGAGGGGCAGGCGACTTACAGCTGGGCTCTCAGACCGCGTCCTGGTTTCTCGGAAGAGTTTGGGCATCACCGGGGTGTCAGAGCCATCTCCGTCTTCCCCCTCGCCATCTCCGTCACCTGTCAGATCCTTTAGAAATGAAGCATTAGGAATTGTAATGGTCATTAAAAGGTCACATAACTAAAACAGTGTAAGAATGAAGAGTTCATCATTTTGGCCCAAGTGACCTCAAAGTATTTTCAACTATCACATTTTGTTCAAAAAATCCTTTACAAGGGCTTGCCATGGGGATCACAAACTCAAGACATGACAGAAAAATAAAATCCCAGTAAAATCCCAAGATAGGGTATGAAAGCAATATGCATTTTTAGGACTCCTGTCCGTACCCCACCCCTCCCCCCTGGGGGAGATGGATTCTGCTGCGCCCCGCAGGGAGAGCTGGTCAGCCTGCACAACTGATTGTCTGCCAAGAATCGGAGGTTCAGGGCACCTGGGTGGCTCAGTGGGTTAAAGCCTCTGCCTTCGGCTCAGGTCATGATCCCAGGGTCCTGGGATCGAGCCCCACATCGGGCTCTCTGCTCAGCAGGGAGCCTGCTTCCTCCTCTCTCTGACTGCCTCTCTGCCTACTTGTAATCTCTGTCAAATAAATAAAAATCTTTAAAAAAAAAAAAAAAAAAAAAGAAAAGAAATCGGAGGTTCAAGAAAGATGTTTCCGGATACCACGACCAGGAAGAAAGGGCACCAATTCTGTGTCAAGTCATGAAGAGCCCCTAATGCGCGTCCCATCCCCAGAGCAAAACCCAAAACCTGGGCACAAAAACTGGACAGCTTGTGAGCAACCCTGGGCCCAGATCCTGAATTAAGAACTGGATTTTTCACTTGCCAATCTTGTGGCCTTGACTGAGTCCATCCCTCTTTAAAACTCTAACAGTAATTCCCTTGTAGCACAAAAGAGTGATAATGAGAAGGGAAGGATGCAAGCCTCGCCCAAGGCCAGGCTCAGAGGAAATGCTCAGACAGGAGGTTCCATTCCCACTACTGTGAACAATATACCCGAACTCAGATGGCTGTCTGGACCACATGGTCCCAAATATCCACAGCTCTTCCTCTACCCATCTGTGTCCCCACTGGTTGCTCTACAACAAAACAGAAGCTGTGCAAATGTGAATTTTTATTTGTCCGTAACTTTGTCCCCAGCGCGTGACATTGGTTCTTCAAAAAAAAGAACCAGTAACCCAAGTGAAAAAACTCTACTATGATTAATAAAAACACAGGAGGCAGAAATGATGTCAGGAATAAAAAAAACATTATGATGGGGCGCCTGGGTGGCTCAGTCATTAAGCCTCTGCCTTCGGCTCAGGTCATAGTCCCAGAGTCCTGGGATTAAGTCCGTCAGGCTCCCTGCTTGGCGGGAAGCCTGCTTCTCTCTCTCCCACTGCCCCTGCTTGTATTCCCTCTCTCACTGACTCTGTCAAATAAATAAAATCTTTTTCTGTGTGAGGGTGAAAAAAAAAAAAAAAAAACCATTATGAAAAACTGCAACTTGAAAAAAAACTCACTAGAAGCTTTGCTGCAAGTATTCAAAGATCTTGCAATGATTGTTTAAAATCCCCTACAAGAAGCCCGGCAAGTTCTTTCCATCTTGGAAAAAAAAAAACTTCCCATGAGGCCACATAACCCTGATTATCAAAACCAGACACAAATATATTCTGATAAAATCATATACCCATTTTATCCATGAAGATGCTAAAGTAAATCAAATTGAAAACACACCATAACTGGGAGCCTGGGTGGCTCAGTGGGTTAAGTGACTACCTTCAGCTCAGGTCATGATCCCAGAGTCCTGGGATGGAGTACCATATCAGGATCCCTGCTCCATGGGGAGTTTCTCTGACCTTCTCCCCTCTCATGCCTTCACTGTCTCTCTCTCAAATCAATAAGTAAAATCTTAAAAAAAATAAACAAAACACCACAACCAAGTTGGGCTCACTCCAGGAAAAAAAAGAATCGTTTACTACATTAGAAATTTATCAATATAACTAATCATCCACTGAGAAAAAGATAATTTCAAAAAATATGCTCAGGGCGCCTGGGTGGCTCAGTGGGTTGGGCCGCTGCCTTCGGCTCGGGTCATGATCCCAGGGTCCTGGGATTGAGTCCCGCATCGGGCTCTCTGCTCGGCAGGGAGCCTGCTTCCCTTCCTCTCTCTCTGCCTGCCTCTCTGCCTACTTGTGATCTCTGTCAAATAAATAAATGAAATCTTTAAAAAAAAAAAAATATGCTCAATAAGCAGTTATTGAAAACAATTTGTAATTTGGTAAAATAAATGTTTATGATTTTAAAAAAGACTTGGCACTTAACAAAAATTGCCATCATTCATGAGGTGGTTCAAAGGCCTCTGTGTGCTCAGGAGTGTTGGAATTTCATCATTTAACAAATATACTGGGTTCAAGTTTGGAGGAGTCTCCAAGTTCCCATTTAATGCAAGCTCAAGGGGAATTCCTCTGGAACCCTGGAGAAAGTAGAACGTATACCTGAGTATAACTTAGCAGACTGGAGACCTCCCTCTTTGACAGCCGAGAGCTTGATCTGCGACCTGGAATAAAGAACCAGAGTCTGTTTGGAGGAAGGCGCAGGCTCCCAGGTTGGGGAACAGCCACATCCTCCCTTGCTGACCTGCAGTGCTGTCCCTGGTGTCTCCTCTCTTAAACCCACTGACATCCTCAGGGGTTAATTCCTAGCCCCTCAGGATCTGTGGACCGCCAAATTATTCATAAAGCAACAGGGCACAGAGACAGGCACATAATATGATTGAAAACAATACTGGAGGTACTCGTGAGGGAAGCCATCAAATTCCTTCCAGAACTGTGGCCACCAAACTACAATTAATGAACAATCGAGTGCCTGGCGTATCAGTCACATTTCAAGTGCTCACATGTGGTTAGTGGCTATTATAGCGAACAATGCACAAAACAGAACACTTTCACCCTCACACAGAATCTTCTATTGGACAGCACAGCTCCAGGGGATTTCAAGAGCAGGATGGGACAATACAGGGTTTTCCAAAACAGCTGGGTCATAAAATAGAAAATCTCAGTGGGGAGGACCCCAGGTGATGTGATCCAGTACTATGCAGGGGAGGGGTGGGGAAGGGAAGGAGGGGAAAGGAAGCAAGTCTCAGACCCTCCCCACTAGAGTGTCATCTTCCCACATAATCACAATCCCAGCTACAGGGGAGAAGGGTCCCACTGCAAAAGGGCCAAAGATCCCAGCCTATGCTGCAAGCACCCCAGCCATGGCTGGGAAAAGACGGGGGTCATCATCACCTTGGGGTTACCTCCCCAGTGACCCAGCTGAAGTAGGGGTGGGGGGGACGGGGAAGGGCCCAAGGGCAGGGATGAGAAGTAGGCTTCCTTCCCCAGGAGGTGGTGGAGCCTGTCAGAGACCAGACCCTCTCCCCACAACCTGCCCTGAGCCCACTCAGAGATTCACGTCCCAGCCGTTATCTGCAGTGCCTGTCCCACACCCCTCCTCCCCACTGGCCCGGCCACCTCTGATCTCCGGGGTGCTGATAGCCTCCAGGATGGGGGGTGAGGGTGCATCCTTGGAGTCAGAAGACTGGTCGCTGCAGCCCCCATTAGTGATGATGGAGTCTTCCCTCCCGCTGGCGTCCTCCTCTCTGTTGAGTTGTCTGGTGTCTCCCTTCATTGTTTCCTGCAGGAGGGCCAGAATGGGCAGGGTAGCAGGGAAGCAAGGGCACAAGGGGGCAGTACACCCCAAACCTCCCGCCAGTGGCTCTATGTCGTCAGGCCAACAGAGGCCCCTTGACATATTCTCCGGGTGATACTCCTACCCAAGGACCCCACCCAGACTGCCCCCCAGAACCTGACCCCCTCACCAAACTCGGAGGCTCAGGACTTGGTTCCATGTGGCCAGGCGGCCCGAAGGCTCAGATACCAGCACCCAGGACAGAGGAGGGGGCTGGGCTGTGGTCTGAGGCTTAGGCTGTTCTGTGCAATTAGCCGGCCACTTCAAACAATGCCATTTAGGACCCGCCTGCCCCGGCCTGCCTGCCGCCAGCCTTGGTCCCCTTTACCCCTGGCCCCCTCTCCCTGCCCAGCCTCCGCAGGGCCTCAGGAAGCCAGTGCATTATTTTCCCTCCTGACCCCTTTGTTTGCTCTCTCCTTTCCCCTCAATCTCCAGGTCCTCTTCCCACCCGCCCCCTCCTCCCCCACAGAACAGCTTCTCTCCTCTCCATGGCAGCACAAGCCCCGCCCCACCCCAACCTCAGGGGCCCATTGGTCTGCTGGCCTGTCGCTCACTCCCCTCCTCCCTCACCAGCTGGGGCTCAGAGTCCCAAGTTCCCAAGAAGGGAAAGGATGGAGGAACACAGGCAAAAGACTGGGGCAGTTAACAAGGGGAAATGCTCCCTACCTGCTCCAGCTTCGCCCCACCTCTGGGCTGTCATCTCCCCACTGCTGCCCCTCCTGGTAACTGCATCATCTCCAGGCTATTCGGCTAAGACCACCAGGTCAGGCCAGGTCTTCACTGATGGGTTCAAGGGCCCTGTGACCTTTGACCTGGCCTGCAACATATGTTGGCTGCAAGAACCTGCACCTTTCATTTATTCCTCCTCAAAATTTGATCGTAGGCCCGTTTTATAGAAAAAGAAAACTGACACACATACCAGGTTAGTCTCCCAGGTCAAGAATTCACATCTAAGAGGTGAGGCCAAGGTAAAAAAGGAGCCTAGGTACAGGGTAAGGCCCCCAGATTCTCATCCCTTAGTTTTCCCCAAACTGCTCCAGAGCTACTTGGCACCACACCCTACTGTTCTGGACAAAAAGATTTCCCAGTGAAGAGCTGCTTATGAGCACTGAGCACTCCCAGCCCTATGCCCGCCCCATCTTGGGGACTCACCACAGAGTACCAGATGACCCGCACGTGTCCCAGGGTAGCTTCTAGAATAATCGTCAAGGGTACAGGGTTGCAGCTGCCAGGTGATACAGCACCACGTCCACCAGGGGGCGATGAGGGGCTCTGTCTGAATTGCACTGCTGCGCCCCCAAGTGGATATTCGATGTCACCTGGGGTCCCAATTCCATCCTCTGCACCTGTCCCTCACCCAGGCCTGGTAGTGGGGCATACAGACCTCTGCCCTATTTCCCAGAAGATCCAGGGACCAGCCTGGGAGATGGATTTTTTAAGAGCTACAAAATCTCAGGCATGGCCCTAGACCTATGTCAACACCTACATTTCCAAAAGATCCCTGTGTGATTATATGCAAGTTAAAAGAGCACTGTGCTGGTTCTAAATGCATTCTTATCCATAGCCCAGTGTGGTCCTTACCCCCGCATGGCCCAGAGTATGCAAGCTCACACTTCCTGGTCTATTTTCTCTCAATACATATTAAAGGAATCTCACCAGCCCCAGGGAAAAGAGGAATACCTGACCTAGCCCAATCGGCTGCTTCTCAGCCCCTTTCACTGGCAAGCCCTGACCCGGAAGAACAGACTGGCCAGATCCTGTGAGGCCAAGAAGCCAAAATCCCAGGAAAACTGCTCGAGTGTGGTTCAAAGTAATAATTAATTCCCAGTGTCCTGCCCCAGGGCAAACCAGTGAACTAAGTAACCCGGGTGGCCTAACACAGGGTGGGAGGGTGGGTCACTGTGCAGGATTCCAAGGGTCCCCAGAAGCTTAGGGGAAGAAGAGGCAAGCCAGGGTTTCTCCTCAGGAGCTGGTGGCGAGCAGGTCAGAGGCTGAAATGGAGGGCCATTACTTCCTCCAGGACCCAGGATTCTCTCAGACAGCCCTTAACTGTGTCAGTCAGGAGCCTCCGGCCTAGACAGGCCCAGGAGGAGCCTGCAGCCCAGAGTGGACAATGATTAACTACCTCAGGCCTTACCCCAGGGCCTCAGCAGTGCCAGCCCCTACACGGTCTACCAAACAGACCCGAGAGCCAGATGTCGACATTCACGAAAAATCTCCTACTTCTAGGAACTGCACCCATGGGCACTGGAGGAAGGTTCAGGCAAGGAAACCAGCCAACTCTAAGTATCCTGGGATACCTGGGCAGCAAAAATAACCACCTTCAAATTGCATAATTTGATCGTGTGAGTTCACACAAATTCCTTCTCTGTAGCCTTCATCCCCTGGGGTTTGCACAGACAGTAGCTTCCCTTGTGGCCTTCCTGCAACACACACCTTTGTCTGGAGCCTGTGCCCACTGATACGCAGTGCAGTTCCTCTCCCACCCTGACCCTTCTACCTGGACCACACTCTACATAGAGGACGAATAAAGCCGCCTCCAAGCTTGGGCTGCTGCTGCCCTCCTCCGCCTGGAAGCCCTCCCCATCCCTGCCATACACCTCCTGGTTACTCAGACTTCAAAACCACATGGTCAAAGTCAGGAAGGCTCCTCCCAATACACTTCTGCTCCAAAATTAATAACCACATAGTTAGGGGCGCCTGGGTGTCTCAGTGGGTAAAAGCCTCTGCCTTCAGCTCAGGTCATGATCCCAGAGTCCTGGGATCGAGCCCCACATCGGGCTCCCTGCTCAGCAGGGAGCCTGCTTCTACCTCTCTCTCTGTCTACTTGGGATCTCTGTCTGTCAAATAAATAAATAAAATCTTTAAAAAAAAATAACCACAGGGGCGCCTGGGTGGCTCAGTGGTTTAAGCCTCTGCCTTCGGCTCAGGTCATGATCCCGGGTCCTGGGATCGAGCCCCGCATCGGGCTCTCTGCTCGGCAGGGAGCCTTGCTTCCCTTCCTCTCTCTCTGCCTGCTCTCTGCCTACTTGTGTTCTCTCTCTGTCAAATAAATAAATAAAAATCTTAAAAAAAAAAAAAATAACCACAGGGCGCCTGGGTGGCTCAGTGGGTTAAAGCCTCTGCCTTCGGCTCAGGTCATGATCTCAGAGTCCTGGGATCGAGCCCCACATCGGGCTCTCTGCTCAGCAGGGAGCCTGCTTCCTCCTCTCTCTCTGCCTGCCTCTCTGCCTACTTGTAATCTGTCTGTCAAATAAATAAATACTTAAAAAAAATTTAAAAAAATAAATTAAAAAAACCACATAGTTACACAAACCCTCTTGCCTAATGACACAGTAATTTTTCAGTGTTTACTACTCTATATGCAACACTTCTGTGCTTTACCTGTATTAACTCACTTATCTTGAAATGCAGAACATGTGGTCCCCGTTTTACAGATGCACAAACTGAGGCACAGAGAAATTAAGCAGCACAATACACACTGGACCAATGTGGCTTCCTCAAATGTTCAAGTCCCAAAAAAGTTAAGAACACATCAACTTACATATTCCTGGCAACAGGAGGAAATTAGCACCAGAAATCCGTATGTGATGGTGGACAGCAATCACCCTCACCTCTTCCCACCACTTCCTGGATAACACAGCCCCCAAGAGAGGCCAACTGCTTTATCTAGTGTGATCTTTCCAGTGCTGGAGGCTAAGCAGCCTGGAAAGAGGTGGCACCTCCCAGGGGGTTTTTCCAGAGTAGTCATCGCTGTGCTAGCTTAAGAACTGTGCCTCCCCAACCCATGGCCATTAATAGTTCCCAGGTCCCTACCATTCACTCCACACAGTACAAAACCACTTTTAACCCCCGCCCGATCCTGAAGCAGGTCCTGTTATCTACCTGCTTTCAACAGGCTCAGATGAATTAATGAAGCCGCCCAACAGGGTGGAAGTGCCAAGACTCATGCCTAGGCAGTCCAGGGCACGTGGTGTAACTGCTGTGCCCGAGATAAGGCAGCCGAGATTTCTAGTTAAGAACAATGCATCACCCATCCCAGGGGCTACAAGAACTTCAGGACTGAGGGACAGGACCTAACAGCTGAGAGTTTACCTTCCCCAGAGGTGATGGTCTAACCTGGTGATGCGAGGTGAACTCTGACCCTTTCCCAGAGGCTAGGGTCAAGCACAGGATTTAGGGGCGGGCAGCATGGTGGGGTGGGCTCACCCGTGAGGTTCTCCCTGCAAGGCACTGCCTCATTAGTGCAGGGTGCCTGTGTCCCAACTGAACCAGGTCAGACGTGTCCAAATGCAATGTGGCAGACAGAAGGATGGGTGGCACCCCAATTAGACTCAGGGAGGAGGCCCAGGGACTCGACCCCCTCACCCCAGTGCAGCTATAAAGCTAAGAAGTGAGGTCATTCATTTCCTCCAAGCGGGCACCAGCAGCACCTTGTAAATGGTAATTGCATTAATTAAATGCACAATACAGGAAGGGGGAATGGTTGGCATGATGGGAAGTGGGTTAAGGGGGCCACAGGGTCATCCCAGCCCCACCCTGAGTCCCCCAGGGCTTAGAGGTTTAGTGCAGTAGAACAAGAGGTTGAAAGATATTCCCACCACCCCTATTTAAAAAAGTCCTTCTAGGGCCACCTGGGTGGCTCAGGTCATGATTCCAGGGTCCCGGGTTTGAGCCCCACTCATCGGGCTCCTTGCTCAGCAGGAAACCTGTTTCTCCCTCTACCACTCCCCCAGTTTGTGTTCCCTCTCTTGCTGTGTCTGTCAAATAAATAAATAAAACTTAAAAAAATAAAAAACAAAAGTCCTTCTCTACAGCCTGTGGGAGGGACACCTAGGCTACTAAATCCTCTCCACCCCAACCACTCAGGTCTGTTCCATTGTCCAAGATCCTGAAATAGTGATAGAGCAATTACTATGCATCTCATGCAAAGCCAGAGC